ATTTAGGATTTTGTTGGTAATTCTCCCATTTATTTTGACATATAGTCTTTATGGATACTGACAAGCTCATCATGTATTTTTTCAAACATATATGTCTTAATTATTGCATTACAAGTCCCTTGGAAAATGGAATGATTGCGAGGATACTTGCATAAGTCATTTCTTAGATCACAATATCAAAAGTTTCATACCATTTTTGTATTGTCATTGGTTCTGCTTATCCGATATTGTTGTAATCCTAACAAACGGTTTGGTGGTCCAATTCAAACTTTCAATCGACGGCCTGTGTTTAATTTGACATTCTAATTTTCTATGTACTTAGACAAATTGTCTTGCCGGTGAGATTAATGCAATCGAGTTCTTTTTAACAAGGGTTAATACCACGAAAAACCCTAAACTGGTACACTTGTGACACATTTACCCCAAACTATTTTTTTGACCATAAAAAACCCCAAACTGGTACACTTGTGACAATTTTACCCCAAACATACCACAAAAAACCCTAAACTGGTACACATGTGACAATTTTACCCCGAACAAATTTTTAATATTATTTTTTTGAATTTTTTTGAATTTTTTCTTTTTTCTTTTCTTTTCTTTTCTTTTTTTTTCCTTCACCTTCAACCTCTGGCCGGTCGCCGGTCCGGCGACCGGCCAGAGGCGGAAGCCGGCGAGGGCCGCCCTCGCCCGATACCGGCGAGGGCGACCCTCGCCTGCGTCGGGCGAGGGCCGCCCTCGCTCGGAAGTCGGCGAGGGTCGCCCTTGCCTCAGGTGGGCGAGGACGGCCCTCGCCCGACGCCGGCGAGGACGGCCCTCGCCCGACACCGCGAGGCCGCCCTCGCCGGCTTCGCTTCTAGCCGGTCGCCGGACCGGCAACCAGCCGTAGTTTGAAGATGAAAAAAAAAAAGAAAAGAAAAGAATAAAAAATAAATAAAAATTCGAAAAAAATAAAAATAAAATTTTAATTTAGGGTAAAATTGTCACATATGTACCAGTTTGGGGTTTTTTGTGGTAAGTTCAGGGTAAAATTGTCACAGGTGTACCAGTTTGGAGTTTTTGGTGGTCAAAAAAATAGTTCAGGATAAAATTGTCACAGGTGTACCAGTTTGGAGTTTTTTATGGTCAAAAAAATAGTTTGGGGTAAATGTGTCACAAGTGTACCAGTTTAGGGTTTTTGGTGGTATTAACCCTTTTAACAATGATACTGTTAAAATATATTTATGCAATCTATTGGCGCTGTCACTATTGAGAAGATAAGATAAAAATGAATACTTAAAGAAGACTTAATTGCACAAAGTATGTCGAGAGAATAAAATTTAGAAACTAGATAATTGGCAGGGCTAAAATTGAATTAATCCTAAATCCTCAAATGATGATCTTCTTGGATCATTTTAGCAAACACTGTTTATTCTAAAGATTGAAAGAAATGGATCTTCACAAGTACATGAAGAAAAATTACCCACAAGCGATATATCCAAGCGAAAGGATGTATCGTGCAACGAGTGTACCAACAAAGTTACAAATATCTATATAAAGAAATTGTAAGGGTCGAAATAGGTAGTATCTCGAAAAATTGTACATTTTATCATTATGATAAAAACCCCCTGAAAAGGGTAATTTTGTATTAGTTATATCTTGTTCAAATCACATATAGAGCAATAAGCCAAAAATATGAGACTTTCCAACATTCCAATCCAAATTGATTGGTTTAGACATTCGGCGGGAAAATTACCAAAAAGTCATAAACCTATTGCAATCGTTTTAATTCAGTACTCAACATTTTTTTTGGCCAATTGAGTCCTAAACCTTTTGCAGTTGTGCCAATTCAACCCATCCGGTCAATTTTGATCAGAAATCACTAACATGGATGTCGGCTGTCCTATGTGGCACGGCTAACGCTAACGTAAACAATTTTTAATAATATTTTAATATTTGTTCAAAAAAAATTATTTCGTTTATTTCCTTTTTTTCTTTTCTCTCTTTCTTATTTTTTTCACTTCTTCCTCTAGCCGGCGAGGTCGATCTCATCAGCCTCGCTAGTGGTCGGCGTGGTTAAGGCTCGTCTAGCCATAGCCTTGTCGTTGCTGGGTGAGGCTTGCCCTTGCTGGCCAAAGGAACAAGGAAAGAAAAAAAAGAGAAAGAAAAGAAAAAAATTAATAAAAATTCAAAAAATATAAAAAAAAAATTGTTCACATTAACACCGGCCGCGCCACGTAGGACCCCCAGCGTCCATGTTAGCGATTTCCGCCCAAAATTGGGCGGATGGACTGAATTGGCACAAATACAAAACGTTAAGGACTCAATTGTAAAAAAAAGATTAGAACTGAAATGACACAATTACAATAAATTTAAGGCTTTTTTGGTAATTCTCGCGACATTTGGTCGACTAGTTATATCAAGCCAACCATACAATCAATTAATAGTTTTTCCTCTCCTTTTTATGAAGGGCCTAAAACCCATCCCATGTTCCTAAGACCCAAGCCCCAGCCCATTTTCCATTCTCCTTCAACAGTTTTAGAATGGTCAAGAAAAAAAATACGAAAAAAATAAATATATTTCGATGAGCAATTGTTGGGAGACTTACATCCCTTAAGAGGCCGAACCATGGGAGCGACGTTTGGGCTTTTAGCTTGGCCCATGTTATCTAAGAGGCCCACTACGCGTTTCGAAATAACTATCCTGCGCAACCGAGCTCGGTATTCTAGGAACTATCATGCAATGCTAAGCAATAAAATGAGTTACATTTAATGCAAAACACATTATTTTATGAGGAAGTCACTGTAATGAGATGACAAATTAAACATTATAAAATGGCTGTGACATTAGTTTTCAAAATTAATATGTGATTATAGTATCATAAACATATAAATACGGTTACCATTAGATCTTTATGGAAAATGTAATGATTTTATAACTCTCTTTTTGTTGACTATAAATCCTTATTCCATAAATTATATTAGAATAGGGTTATGTCTATATTATACTAAGTAGAAGCATACGCTAGATAATTGGAAGGGAACTATAGAGCATAAATCGAACTTATGATTAAGAAAATTCTATTACAAGTTATAGATTATGAAATTATACTTTGCCATCCCTAAATTATGATAATCCTTTAATTTATGTAGTTTCCAGAAACAAATTTAAATACAACATAAAAAGAGCTTCGGTTTTATTAGTCATTTAAAAAGATTGTTCAAAAAATCTCAAACCTATTGTACGGCGACCAATTTAGTCATAAACCTTTCAATTGTGCCAATTTAGTTGTAAATCTTTTAATGACTTACCAATTTAGTCCTAAATCTTTTAATGATTTGCCAATATAGTCCTCCAATAATTTTTTGCCAAAATTACTCGGAATGACTACATTGGCAAATGGTTAAAAGATTTAGGCTTAAATTGGCAAATTTTTAAAAGATTGAAGACTAAATTGACATAGTTGAAAGGTTTAAAGGACTAAATTGGTTCTTCTACAATAGATTGATGACTAAATTGGCAAAATTGAATTGGCTGATATACAATAGGTTTAAATTTTTTGGACAATCATCCCCTTGTCATTTGAAATCGGCAAAGGGGTATACTTGGGTATTCTACTATTTTTCATAACTTACTTCCCATGAAATTCTAGCGAACCAATAAAGACATGCCTTGGTGTGAAACAAAGACATTTTTGACATTTTCGGAATGGTGGTTTACGCATCGGCAAATCTAGGGACCAATGGCGGCCTTGCCCCTCCCCGGTCCCCAAAATTTCCCCTAGTTATGTACATATTAGTTAAAATTTATGGTCTCTCTCCCACACGTGAAATTCTCCATGCGCTGTTAAGTTTAAGGTCGTGGATTTGCCCATGCATCACTCCTTATTGGGCAAGCCTGTCACCCATGCTCCATGATGATGTGAGCGGAAGCCTTAGACTAGGATATGTCTAAATCCATATCATCCTTTACAAACCAATTAAGGTTTCCTGAGATTGAGCATAAATCAAGAAATCAAACCTATGGTGTCAAACTTTCAAACTGGCCCTTGGACCACTTTACCAGCCATCTTAGTGATACATACTATTTTTTTTTAAAATTTTTGAAGTTGAGATGTGTCGTTAACCAATGAAACTACATTTACCGTAACACTATTCTTAAAAAATATTGCCAAGTAGACCATTAGCTTTTTCACTTGATGTGAGCACCATAGTGAACAAACTTATTTTCTTCCATAGCTTATGCTAGAAACGGTTTACCTTTCTCTAAATCTACGCTTCTCATTTAGAGTGATTTCCTCAGCCCAATTACCTACTCAAGGTGAGCATAAAAACATTGTCCGAAAAGCATTTCCGCGACAATATGAACTGCACTTAGTACGCATCCATAAATGTTTTAACTCTATATTTGCGATGCTGTGTGAACTATTGCACATAAAAAAAAGGATCCCGAATCTTTTTAACTTGTCAATGTCCAATACAAGAGGCCTTTGGAGCTTATCCTTGTGACTTACCAAAAGGGTGCCCAAAGTTTAAGGGAAAATTGCAATCTTGGGACAGTGAATTTGTTCTGTCAGCGCCTTGGGGGAAATTTGTCTCCTCGTGCCTGTGCTAGCTTAAACATTTCGTGGCAGAAAAAGACAAAGCAGCAGATCCTTCAGTGACCGTTTCAAATTCGAATTCAAAAGCAGCCCCAGGCTCCGGGCGACAGGGCTGTGACCTTTTTTGCTCCGCTCACCCACGAATCGCGATCGGGAGGGCCCCCTCGACCACCCGCAGCGGGCCCTTCCCATTCGTCCGTGACGCGAGCGTGGCTCAACGCCGCGTGGGGGGGGGGGGGGGGGGGGGGAGGAAAACAGAGCACCCGCCGTGGGCCCCCGCCCTCCCCGACGCTCCTCCCCCAACGATAACCGAGCCGGATCGGACGGCCAGGACGCCCCCCGCAATTCAAAATCTCCCCGCCTAAGGCGCACGATGAGATCAATTATTAAATCGCAAGTTCAAAACCACACCCTCTCTCTCTCTATATCTCTGCGTGCGCGACGAATAAAAACCTCAAAAACCTCCTTTACAAAATTTGCCGAAAAAACAGAAAAAAAAATCAGAATCGAGAAAAGTTTCTCTCTCTGTTTCTCTCTCTCTCTCTCTCTCTCTCTCTCCTGGTTTGTCGAAGAAACAGAGGGTTACTGCAGAGGAGGGGCGGGACGGAGGGGAGCGATACTCCCTCGAGATGTCGACCCAGCACCGGCGCTCGTCGTTCTCGTCGTCCACGACGTCGTCCCTCGCCAAGCGGCACGCCTCCTCCTCCTCGTCGGAGAACCCCGGGAAGGCCGCCGCCGCCGCCGCCGCCCCGTCCCACCTGGCCAAGAAGCGGGCGCCCCTCGCCAACCTGACGAACCTCAAGGGCGGGGCAGGCGATGGCAATTCGCGAAGCTCATCGGCACCGTCCGCTTTGGTGGGTGTTTTATCTTTTTCTTTCTTCTTCTTCTTCTTCTTTTTTTTCGCTTTTGCTTTTGCCTTTTTCGGTTTGATTGTTCTGCTCGTTGCGTTCTGTTTGGTGGTTTGAGAAACGTGGGGGGGGGGCGCGGAGGAAGATGGTGGTGCGGAATTGGGATCTCTTGTTCTTTCTGCTTCCTCTGGTTGACGAGCAACGTTTCTTGCGTTTATGCTCTCCGCAGTGCATTTTGGCAAGTTTTTTTTCTTGTTTGGGCGCATGAGGGTCTCTTTTCGACGTATCTTTTTCTCGTTCGATCTTCTTGGGTGATCGGTGATCGGGGTGTCTAGGGTTGGTGTATCATGCAGCTAAGAGCAATGTTCGGATAATGTGTGGAAAACCTTGCGGCATTGTGTTTCTTGAAGCTTTGGGTTCCTCCTCAAGAATTTGGATGGATGATCCGGAGAGCAGCGCTTCTCTGCCGTTTGAGCTTGTTATGTGACGAATCATATTTTTCCAATTTCTGAGAACCAAAGATTTTGCACTATATGGTCCGGTTGATTCTCTGATAGATAGACCGGTTTGCAGTAGCCATTTCAGTCATGCTCATAAGAAGTCATGCTTAACATTGTAACTTAATAGATCTCTAAAGTGGTTTGGTGCTTTCGAGTAGTTGCATATACTGCTCCTGTGTTAGCCCATTGCAGATATTGATTAATGTTCAAGAGGTTGGCACAATTTACAGGGATTCCTTTTTACGTGTTTTCGAGAAAATTCCTAGTCCCGGAATGCCTAGGAACTATAGGAACTCTTATGCAATTTCAGGCTCACATGATTGTATTCAGTATATGACCATTTGTATGTATGTGGAATCTGGTCTAACATCCTATTTAAAATCCCTGATGGAAAAGATGAGCTGAATTTTGATTTTTGAAGGTGGCTAATGCAACGAAACTGGCAAAGGCGAGGAAGGGATCTTCTACTTCCGGCTCAAACATGGGCCTCTCAGGAAGTACTTTACCGAGATATGCTAGCACGAAACCATGTGGAGTGCTTCCTACTGTTCATCCTTCCATTCCAAGAATAGAGATAGCTGTCGATCCCGTACCGTGCAGCATGGTTGTTTCCCCCAGTAGATCAGACGTACATTCGGTTTCGCTGGATGAGAGCATGTCCACCTGCGAGTCTTTCAAGAGTCCTGATGTTGAGTACATCGACAATGATGATGTTTCAGTGGTTGATTCTATTGACAGGAAGACATTTAGCAATCTTTATATCTCAGATAGCGCAGCAAAAGCAGGTAATTATTCAAAACCTAAAATTTAGTGTGCTTTTCATGTGTTGTTCTATGATTCATACCGTCTTACAAGTCAATTTGACATCAATTCCTTGGCTATTCATGATTGGCCAGCGGTTAACATTTGCGAGAGAGATGCACTCATGGAGATGGAAACGGATGAGAAGATTGTCAATGTTGATAACAAGTACTCAGATCCACAACTCTGTGCAACCATTGCTTGTGACATTTACCAGCACTTACGTGCATCTGAGGTCCAGCCTTTTTTCTATATTATTCTATTTGCCTTATATGAGTTTTACTTCCGAATGTTTGAACTATGGTTTGATTAATAGGGTTTTCTTTGCATAATCAGAGGGAAAGCCTGCGCTATTAGTTCAGCTCAAGTCAAGTTGGTATAGGGTCCAATTTAGAGAGACTGCAGAGTGGCCTAGGGCATTATTACTTTTTTTCACCGCTCATCCCTCAAGAACAAATTCTTCGCAAGGCTTAAAGATCATGCTTACTAAGTCAGAGTTATGCTACCTTGTAAAGCTAGATGATCTCGTCGTACAGTTTGCACTAAATTGGAGTGTCAAGGTTTTGGGCAATCCTGATGTTGCTGACGACTAATGGAACAAATTTAACGGGATGGGGCATCTATCAAATAAAAGACAGCGATTCGGCGCCATATAATACGTAATCATAGAGTGGAAGCTAGATCATTCTTGTTAGAAACAATGGAATCTGATTCTACTTCTTGCCTTTCCGTACATTTTAAATGTTTCCAATGTAAACGGATGGTTTGTGATGACTATTTGACACATCATTTCATTAACATAGAAATCCAGAAACAGACATTTGTTTCCACAGGCTATATAACACACATACTAAATCAATGTTTGGAAATGAATAGGTGACTGATTGATACCAAACATCACTATGCACGGGCCTATGGCTAGACAGAATCCTGTTGACTTTGGATTCCGTTTTACTTCAAGTTGGCTGCACATACAAAAAGTTTGTTCATCTTGCCAATTTTGCAGGCAAAGAAGAGACCTTCCACTGATTTTATGGATAGAGTACAAAAGGATATAACTGCCAGCATGCGTGCCATACTAATTGATTGGCTTGTGGAGGTAATTGTGGCATTTAATTTGTCCTGGCTGAGAGTAAGATCCTAGATGTGACGTTGTTTGGAGGCTCAAGTTCCAGGTTGTATTGCAGGTGGCTGAAGAATACAGGCTTGTTCCCGATACACTGTACCTGACTATTAATTACATAGATCGGTATCTTTCAGGAAATGTGATGAATAGACAACGTCTACAGTTGCTTGGTGTTGCTTGCATGATGATTGCTGCGTAAGAAACAGATTTTTGCATTCCAAGCATTTGTCTTTTCCAAGTGTTGCCGAGGATCTTTTTGTAGAGACAAAATATTAAGTACACATTCTTATCATGGACAGAAAGTACGAGGAGATCTGTGCACCTCAGGTAGAAGAGTTCTGTTACATTACCGACAATACGTACTTCAAGGAGGAGGTTTGCATCTAACATTTTCGCGCAGTGGCCACTAAGTAGGATTTCCCTGTTTCTTTTCTTATGACTTTTATTAATGCAGTGGAGCATAATGTTTGTGTAGGTATTGCAAATGGAATCTTCTGTGTTGAATTACTTGAAGTTTGAATTGACCGCTCCCACTGTCAAATGCTTTTTAAGGTATGTTCGCGCTAATCATTACGTGCCATAATTTTCTTTTTTGCATTGCTTCATGAGGTGGTGACTGTTTATTCGGCAATGCGATGTAGACGATTTGTTCGTGCTGCTCAAGGGGTGAATGAGGTATCCATCTTCAGCTTTGCAACCAGCTTTCTGCATCAACTTATTCTCATGTCATTTAACTGTCTTCACTGTTGTGCAATGCATCTGCTTCTGCAACCATGCTTACAAAATTTGTTAGTTTTTACTTCTGAAAGTTTTCAAGAACAAAACTCATCTTATGAACTAAAAAATCGACAGTATAGGGGTCTTGCTGGTTAGTATTATGAATGTGTGATCTTAATGCTAATGAGACTCAGTATTTCTGGCTCTGCTATCTTCCATTTCCAGGTTCCATCTTTGCAGTTGGAGTGCATGGCCAACTATATTGCAGAACTCTCTCTACTAGAGTACAATATGCTTTGTTATGCTCCATCCCTTGTGGCTGCATCAGCAATATTTCTGGCCAAATTCGTCATCACCCCTTCTAAGAGACCCTGGGTATGGCCCTAACTGTTTGACTATCTTCTCTTCATTCATCCGGAGTGAACTAACAATCAGCAGGAAATATGTCCAACATTATCTTTTCGTTGCTTATGAACTGTGTATGAAGTTAGCTCAGGTTGCTTATGCAATACTGTGCAGGACCCAACGTTGCAGCATTACACTCTCTACCAGCCTTCCGATCTGGGAAACTGTGTCAGGGAACTGCATCGGCTGTGTTTTAACAGCCATGGTTCGACCTTACCGGCAATCAGGGAGAAGTACAGCCAACATAAGGTAGCGAGAAGACTATCTTGTTATCTCTTTGTTCGGAAAATGTGGATTTTTAAGGTTGTCATGTTAATTGAAAGCATTAGTATGATTTTTTTATACTTATATGTTGGTTTCTGTTTTCAGTACAAATACGTGGCGAAGAAGTATTGCCCTCCCTCAATACCTCCGGAGTTTTTCCACAATCATGTCTATTAGCCGGTGATGACACTCTGCTCCAATGCTCTGTTGGAAACCTATCCCCTCCCCGTTGCTCACTGGCAACTCTTAAGCGCGTTCACCCTATAACTGTTGATCGTCGAAGAGAGTGGATCCCAATTCACTTCCTAAGATTTTAGGATTTCTGTCTCTTTCCCCACTCTTCTTTGCAGAAATGTAAATCCCCTCCTCTCTTTCAAGTTCCGTCATTTTATTTTTCGCCGCTGATGATGTTGTACTCTGGTGCACGCAGTTGATTTTTCCCCGGCTGCACGGGTCGTATGGAGGATTAGTAGCTTCTTAATGATGAAATATCGTGGCAGATTTATTTTCTTTTCGTTCTGTTTTGGTGCTCTTTTCTCCACCGTATAATGAGCTCACTTCTGCGCAGAAGTCGGTGATGATGCCGGTAAGTTGACTGCTAATGTGAGATTCAAGCTCCCAATTTCTGTGACACAAAAATATTGCCCGTCCCACAGAACGTGTTTTTTAAGTAAAATTATATGCTTGGTAACCGTGAATTGCTTAATCGTCTTGATTTGATCTGTTCATGCACAAAGAGGGAACATGACTATATCAGAACATCTCTCTCAATTCGCATTTGTAGCAGAGTACTCTCTCTTCTAGCAGAGAAAGCTCTTGGTTATCATTATCAAGCAATATTTCTCTCTTGACAAGTAAAATTAGAGTACCCGAACCGGTCTACAAATTTGAATTCTATGCGGTGTGATAAACTGCAAATTAACATTTAAATAATACTTTCAGTGAGATTATTTGTAGCTAATTTTTATCATATCTCACCGATGACTCCGCATAAGGACCAGTAAATGCTTCCCGTCTCTTTAATTTTTGGAACTATAAGATATTCTTAATTAAACATTACGACCCATATTATGACTTGAATTTATTCGTCGAGTAAAAATATATGGTTTAGCAGGATGAGACCCCGAAATGATGTTATTGCATCTCATTGTTTTGTGCCGTTACGAATGTCTTTAATTTCACCCGTCATAAGAAAAAGTTAAGACATTACTTCTTCTTCTTTGCGAAAATTAACACTGTGATTAGCATAGATGAACTAGCTTTTAATGCACCGACCGCAAGTGAACGCAATACATTTTTTCGAGTCATAATAACATCAGATAGGTCACGTGTGAGCAGAGGCATTGAGCCACCAACAAATTGTAAGTAACGAATCAATCTCTTGGATGGTTCAATTTTTACATCAATTTTTACATCATTTCAGAGTTTTCACTGCTCCACCAGCATAGCCACCGATCCTTTGATTCAAATATGTAATCTCACGTACACCAATTACATGCAAGACTCGCTCCGGATCGATACTTCCACCTAATAAGATCCACATAAGTAGATGGAAATTGATCCATTTAGTCAAAGGAGTAGGGAAACTTTTTCTGTGTTCCGGTCAGAACGATACAAAACACTCTTCACATAATACACAAAAGAGGTTCAGACAAATAAACATAGCTTGTGTAAAGCCTCCTATATCTGGACAACCTTGGCAGATTCTTTTAGGGATGTAACATGTTTGAGCACGGACGTTCAGCCGTTACAGCATCACCAGGAGAAGTCACCTTATACAGCGCCTTAACACACTCTGCTTTTATTTCTAGGAAAAATGACTTCAGTAGTCTCTAAACTTTGACCCAATATTTGATGTCATCCTTGGAACTTTAATTCGCTCTATGTGATTGTTCAATGTCATCTTTTTGCTTGATCAAACAAGTGGAGGGGTTACCACAAAACCCCATCCATAAAACTATTATCAAAAGTGCAATTTAGTCCCTAAACTTTAGATAACAAAGTCACATCGGTCTTTTGGTACTATTTGTTGGAAAACATGTATTTTGATGATCACAAAACTATCCTTGTATAATATGTAATATAGTATATGCAGATATTCGTGGTGATATTTGAAAGGCTATGATGATATCCATGATAGCTTAAAGAGCTCAATGAAGACTAGATACGATGATGCAGATTTCCACACGAGGAGAATAAATTAGACACGATGAGATGTTCATAAGGACTTGCAATGACTATGATTGATTTGTGAAGTCTTTGGAAGCTGATAGGCTCAGAACTATAATGGGAAGTAGAATCCCAAGTCATTCTTACAATTTATTCGTGGGCAGCATCATGCACGTGCTAATTATGAGCATGGATGTGTGCTGATACGAAGTCACTAGTGATGTTGTTGATAATTTCATCCAAACAAATTATTGTTACCGACAAAGATTGGGAAAATTACCAAAAAAGTCCTAAACCTTTTGCAATTGTGCCAATTCAGTCCTAAACCCTTTTTTTTTTGCCATTTCAGTCCTAAACCTTTTACAATTGTGCCAATTCAGTCCATCCGGCCACTTTTGGCCGGCCGGCGTTGACGTGGACGCCGGCCGGCCAAAAGTGGCCGGATGGACTGAATTGGCACAATTGTAAAAGGTTTAGGACTGAAATGGCAAAAAAAAAAGGGTTTAGGACTGAATTGGCACAATTGCAAAAGGTTTAGGACTTTTTTGGTAATTTCCCTGACAAAGATTATAGCCACTAGTAGTTAGAAACACCACGACAGAAGAACTGAAAATCGTTAAAGATGAATGGGAAAATTCCAAAAAGGGGTGTGAAGTGGAATCATTTTCTCAAATAAGGATCTGAAGTGGATATTGTTTCAAATAAGGGCCTGAAGTGGCCAAATCGCCTCGTATAAGGGCCTTGTTTTAAATAAGGACCTTTGGTCGATGTGACTATTTCGTCGTCGAAGAAAGGGTATTTTAGTAAAAAAAATAAATTATAAATATATATTTTTTACTTTTTTTTTCTTTTTTCTTTTTCCTTTTTTCTTCTTCCCTCCCAGCCGTCATTGTGCCTGTCGCCGGCCTCAAGTAAGGGCCGCCCTCGCTCACCCGGCCCAAGCGAGGGTGACCTTGGCAAGGGTCACCTAGCTTGGCCTGGCCTCGCCCTCACTTGCCCAGGTGAGGGTGGCCTCTGCCGGCCATCGCTGGGCCGGCGAAGGGAAGAGAGGGATAAAAAAAAGAAAAGGAAAAGAAAAAGAAAAAAAATAAAAAATGAAAAAACCATTTGGCCGGTGAGGTCAGGTCCTTATTTGAGATTGATATGGCCACTTCAAGCCATTATTTGAGACAAGATTCACTTCAGGTTTTTATTTGAGAAAATGAGGGCACTTCATGTCTTTATTTGAGACAAAGTCCACTTCAGGCCCTTATTTGAAAAAAAAATGACTCTGCTTCGGGTCCCTTTTTGGAATTTTCCCAAGATGAATTGACACAATCATAATGCAACCTATTCACCCCCTCTAAGTTCTATTATTAGCCCCAACACTATTCACAAAATTTCATAACTACACAATTCCACAAATTTTAGAGTATCTTTTCATTCGAGAACGTTTTCTAAATTTATAGAAATATGCTATCTTTTAGTATGTTTTACCTTTTATGGTTTTATAAATATTATGACAATTCCATTTAACTATATTTAGCTTAAAATCTCTAAATGTGGAACTTAATTTAGAGTTGTATCGAGTTGATATATCTTGATATTATAAGTCAAGGTGTTTTAAGGATATCTAGAAATGATATTAATTCATCTATAGATTCTGGTATTTACATCAATCTAAATCTTGTTCCTAATTTTTTTGTTAATAAAATTTTCAAACTTTTTATTTCATGTTTTCATAATTGAATTTAGTTAAGTCTTGTGTTTAAAAGTTCTACAATTAATGATCCAAAAAAAATATTTTTATGAAAATTAAACTCACCGATTTACCTTAAATAAAAAAAATGAAGCACAAACAAGATATAGTTAATACAAGCAGGAGTTTTTATCAATGAATTAATATTGTTTATAGATAACCTTATGGAAATAGTTAGACTTAAAATAGTAGAAAAAATTAACCCAGTACAACTTTGAATGGGCTTCCGCTTTTGCTATTATGGAGATCATATTCTAAAATATAATTAAATAGAATTGTCATAATATTTAAAAAGACCGAAACGACAAAAAAAAAAAACCTAACAAAAACTTCATATTCTTTATGTAGGAAAAGGTTTGGAATGAAGGTATTCTAAAATTTGACCAATAACGTATCTGCGAAAATTTGTAAATAATACATAATGATTAATTTAACATTGTTATATAATATTAATGGATTAGATTGAGTAATTGAAATTTTAGGGGTTAGATTGCACGCTTCGCAATAATTTAGACACTAAATTGCACATTTAACACATACTTTAGGAGCTTGTGACTTTTATTTCGTCGTTTGATCAAACAAAAAGACTGCATTAAACTTTCAGAAATAGTTCAAAGACCACGTTAAGCGAGCTAAGAATCCAAAGATGAAATTTCACACCACGTCGAACGAGTCAAAGATGGAAAGATGAGATTTCACATTGCACTGAAACATATAGATTATTAGCATCATTTTTCGCTTCTTTCTGCCGCCGCTTTATCTCCTCCTTATACAACAGCAGGTGCCACTGTTCTGCCATTTGGTTCCACCTTCTTGTCTTCCTCTGCTCCACCAATCTACGCCACACTGACTATGTCAACCTTCGCGGCCACATTCTTGTCGACTTCATCCGCCTTCTTCTCGCAGCCCTTCAGGAGTTCACGAATCCTCGAGGCCAGGCTCGTCTTAGCTTGAGGAGATACGCCGTGCTTACCGATCATCGACTCCAATACCGCCTCAGTGAGTTGTCTGTTCTCGATCACCGTGTTCAAGGCTTCGGGTACGGATCCGTCTTCAGAGAAGGCAATCTGTAACCCAGAGGAGGAAAAACAATTGATGAATAAGTTACATTAAGCCTCAAAGAGCTACCTTGCTTTAGATTTGGCAACAATCAAGAGAAGACAGCTGAGTAACTATTTAGCTAACCGTCGATGCACTCAGACTTTCGTATTCGTAAAACTTGATCACTAACCGTCAATGACCCGTTTGGCGATTGTGTGAATAGGATCGAGGAACCGGGCGGGAAGGTTTTGTCCTTGAAAGCCTTGCAGAATTTCTCAACTGCAGCAGCCTCGGCATCAGTGTAAGTACCAACAGATTGCCAGTATTTGACGCAGTTCTCGGTGACCTTCTCTGCATATTGAGCTCCCGTCAATGGCAATATCATTGTCACCCGAGAGAACTTCTCGAACGGACCTGCGTGAATTTGCCACACCAGATGATCATCCCAATCCAAACTTAAAAATAATTAACCACGAGAACAGAACTAAAACTGTTTCCCAAGTGAAATCTGTGCAAAGAGGGAAGACAGAGTCGTGGTCTCCTCCATAATCGATCAGTTTTGAGTCTGAGAGTGAACTCATTTCTAAACGTCAACTTCTCTAGCTTTATTGAACGATGCAACTAGAACTTAATTTTAATCTGCAACATATAGTATAGCATGCACAGCTCCCCTCTGTTTCCGACACGAACAGTTTGTTCATTCTTAGCCTCTTGTTGGGGAACTAGGGAACTATCATCAACGTAAAAACACTAAAAACAAAGTAAGCATGATGAAACCAAAGTGAACATTGAAGAACAAAGGGCAACCAAAGAGTTTGATATTCATCTTGCAATTGGTTGGAGGACTAGGTTGAAATGTCCCCTACACGACACAAGCATGACAGATGAAAGAAGAGAAGCTCCTCCTCCTACACCTCGTATCGTCAGTAAGGTTTACATGACGATAATAAGGCTGACAAATCCTTGCTTGCACGGAATCTTGGACAATTAACCATCTATCAGTGCATGCCGGCAAAAACGATAACCCGTACGTGCATCAATCACATACAGATGGTCTAGTTTAGTCTAGACCAGCATCTTGCAAAGGGGATAAGACGGACAACCAACCGACGGGACCAAGATCCGGTTTATGGTCTAGTTCAGTCTAGACCAAGAACCAGATCGACTCGATATTGACTGGGCGAGTCCGGTCGTGCACCCGCTTAAACAACCAGGCATCTTCCGATTCGAAGAGGTCCGGCTTGTTAGGGCTACAATAATCTTACACGTCAATTCATTCGATTAAGTTTCTTCACTACTGGTTTTAATTTAATAGATCAAGGATAAAAGAAAAATAGATCGTGTGTTCATATGTTGTTTTCAAAGTTTCATACATGGTAGACATCTCAACATTAACTATATATATTGTTCTAATAATCTCTATCTTAATTGACATATTGTCATTGGGGATTAATTATTTTTTGGAAATTCACAAAGAAGAAAAAGAAAAAGAAAAGAGTTGACGTCATGTGAGGGGGAACCAAAGGCGACGAGTCAACTCGCCATTTGGTCTTCACGAGGATCAGCCTGGACCAATAATAACTTTTAGGGTTAATAACATAAAAATTCTCAAACTGGTACATTTATGACAAATTTATCCAAAACTAACTCCAAATTTGTACATTGGTGAGAAATTTACTCTCCATTAGTTTTTGTTAAATTTTACTGTCAAATTACTGATTTGGACGACACGTGACAGTTGACGGGATACCGATTTGGGGTTTCACCCTTTGTTTATCACAAGTGTACTAATTTGTGGCTTTTTGTGAAATTAATCTAAAATGAAAATTAATGAATGGTAAATTTATCACGAATATATCGATTTTTCGTAGTCCTAATCCTAACTTTCGTAACTTAAAAAGACCCCACTTGTGGGACCCACGAGTATGGTGGACGGACGGATCAGAATTCGCTCCGACAACGCGAGAGAATCCAGCGCGACCGACGGCGCGTGTCCGCCGTTCCGAAGTCGTCCACGGAACGGAAAGTCGTCGGGAACCAAAAGAACAGACGCAAAAGTCTCCTAATTTACCCCCTCAAGCCCAAAAACAGAGGAAGACACAAAGAATGGAAAAACCGCCTCGGACTTGGTCTCTCGCGAGTTACCACCATCCGGCGAGTCGCATCATCATCGGATCGCTCGATGAAACAAAGGGACTCAGACCATCATCGTTGGCAATTTCAAAAGTCAAGAAATTTGCAGATGACACGTACCCGTGACGATGTCCCTGAAGAACTCGACGCAGTCGGCCAGCTCCTCCGCGCTCTTGCCGCTCCACTTGGCGGCGAGGGACGGCAGCGCCGCATCCTCCAGGTAGACGCCGATCGCCGTGAACTTGATGAACTTCCCCTGGATCTCCAGACCTCTCACTCCTGCCCCCATCCCCCCAAAACCAAACGAAAATATGATTTTCTTTTCCTTTTTCAAAAAAGACGAAGTGTAGAAACAATAACTAAGGACGGGCGAAGCCAGAAAAAGTCTCACGGGGCACCACCTGCGCCGCCGAGGAAGTGGGTCTTGGCGGAGCCAGGCGGCTTGACGGACGGCGGGAACTTGACGGACTCCACCTGGACCTCGCTGACGGCGGCGGAAGGTGGCGGCGGCGCCATCGTTTGCCTAGCTGCTGATCCGGCGAGGCCCTGCGACGTCGTCGACGGAGTGAGCCGGAGGTCGTGAGCTTCGAGCGACGCCGGGAGCGAGAGGAGGAGGAGGAGGAGGAGGATGGCCGTGTAGAGTTCGCAGTGAGTTCGGGGGGCGCTATAATTGGAGGGAGAGCGAGAGGGGATGGAGGGTAGATACGGGTCCACGTGCGTCGGTTCGGGTCTTGCCGTCTACCACCCGCCGCTCCCACGCTCCACGTGTACGGTCAGATCTCCCCTAGCCCCTTTGACCCCGATGCACGCACGCGCGGCGTCGGATTCAGAAGATTATGATCATCGGGGGATCGATGATCCGACGGCCCGCGTTTGCCGACCCCATCTGGATCGCGTGTGCACCCCCCCGGCCTCGCACGACTTGCTCTGATGAACGGATTGAGCTCGCGCGCGGGTTCGGAACGGGCGGTGAATGGTGCGATTGCGACCCAATGTCTGTGGGCCGTTGATTTCAACGAATCTCGGCGAGTCCCACGTCATCTAACGGTTCATGTAAATTTTGGCTTGCGCGAGGGCTTCAGAAAGATCAACGGCGACTTTCGACGGGCTTTACGTGTTTATCTCTATATGTTTTTTTGAAAGGGTTTGGATAATTTCATTTAACTAGATATTAAATTCCAAATCCAATTTACCCAAAAAAAAAAATCTCAAATCCGAAAAGGGTAAAAATTTTGCACTTTTAATTTGGGTGATTTGAGCGATCCTTGCATTTCACGGAAATAATTAGAGATGGTCTCGAATTGTGACGGTAATAAAGATAGGATAACGACATTGATAGTCCTTAAATTTTGCGAAAATTTCAAATAAGGGCACGAAGTAACTTCATTTTCTCAACTAAGTACCTAGAAGTTCTATTATTTTTTCAAAAAAGAGTTTGACCTAACTAACTAATCAAGGGCATTTTCTTCCATTTTACATTTTTTAAATTATTTTTTCCCTTTTTCATTTTCTTCTTTCCCATCTCTTTTTTGCCATTTCTTTTTTTTTTCTCCCGCCAGCCATCAATGGTGGGCCGGCCCGGCAACCCTCGCTAGCCACCGGACAAAGGCTCTGTTGGCCATTGGCAAGGGCCCTCGTCGGCCAGCAATGGCTTTCGATGGTGGAAAAAAAAGAAATGGGAAAGAAGAAAAGAAAAAAAAGGGAAAAAAAATAAAAGGACGAAAATGCCCTTGATTATTGGTGAGGTTATACCATTATTTGAGAAAATAATGGCACTTGCTTTTCTTTGAGAAAATGTAGCCTTTATTTATTCCTTATTTGGAATTTTTCCTTAAATTTTTGCCCATCCTTTAATGCTATCTTTGGACTTTTTAATATCTACTCAATGTGGTCCTACCGCTAAAGATTTGATGAATTTTTGCTTAGTTGCCAAAGTTACTTACTCGTCAATTTTTATTCTATTTCGTCCTCAAATTTATTTATTCAGTTCCGTCCTTAAACTTCTATATTAGCTAATAGCTTTCGCTTGAACATGGCGAGGCTCATCCGATAGTCTTCAAGATAACCCTAATCTAAGGACTTTATATTTTCGACACATCGCCATCCCCTTGACAAGATATACACACTACACTCAGCTTCGATGCTGTTATCAGATGTGCCGACCTACTCCCACGAGAGCATTACTCACCGTCTATGAAAAAAGAACGCATAAAAGAGGACGCGCAGTTCGCTCTTTCGTTTCGACCCAATAAGAAAAAAACGCATGGAAGAACGGAAGAGGAGATGAGTTAGGTGGCGGTGGTGCGTGATGGGAAGTGGTAGGTGGAAACGTGGATGCAGAAGCACCATGGCATGGCCTTCGCCTTCACCGGTCACTCTTCTCTGTCCGTCTCTGGCCTCGTTCGCTTCCCATCTACCTAATCCAACAATGCAATCATCCCCCTTTCATAGATTGGTCCGCCTATCTATTCCGTACGGATGACCAAATGCCCCAAGAAACTTCTTCAACTTATGTTCGGAGGATACAGGATACTTCTACCCTTCAAAAAACAGAAGAAGAAAAAAACAGTTTTATTCGTGGGATCATAATACCCACCCATTAATCTTTGGATAAAAACCACAAAAGAATCTTAAACTATGCCCGGCGTGATACAATTACCTTAAACGTTTTTCCGTGATACCAAAAAATCCAAAATTGTACATATGTGACAATTTACCCTCCGTCAAATTTCTGTCAATGAGAACTGTTAAAAATTTACCTATATAGATGCCAGAAATGCAAACGATGTTGATAAGGCGCCCACGTGGCTTAAGTGAAATAAATACGACGTTGTTTTGGCTGAAAAATCATTTAACAGAATTTTAATGGAGGGTAAATATATCATATATTTATAAGTTTGGAGTTTTTAAAAGTTTATGATAGTTATGTCAGTGGGCATAATTTGAGATTTTATGTGACTTTTTCCTTTGCTCTTTTCGTCCAAATAAGCTTATGTGGCTGTTGACGCGGCAAACGATGAATACGTATACATGTTTAAGAACATGCTTAGTCCTAATTGTCAAAACAGCTTATCTCGATGGAAAAGTTAAGTTGCGGATATTTTTTTCTCACGAGCAAAAGTTGGCTTTTTTTTTTCGTTCATTTGAAAAGTGGAGGCCTCTTGTCTCTAGGTATAAGTTCATGCTTTTTTTTTTTGGTAGCATTTGTGGCATTTAGTTCCTATGGGTTCCATTTCTTAAATTGAACGAAATTTAAGGTTTTTTTAAGGGCAAAAAAGAATGGAGAGGATGGATCAGCACTAGCAATTCCCTCTAGATGTTATCATTAAAGTCTTAGATTGGTCATGGTTGTTCGGTTTGAGTCATAGCAATTTCGTACTACCCGCAACCCAAAAGATCTCAAATAGGTAAGCCCCTCTCTAGCACTGTAGTCTTTCCAAACATGTTATTAGCCGGAAAGTCTCTCGACATAAGATATGCCGTAATTAGACAACGGAACATGAACCGTTTAGAAGTTTGTTAAACACTTAAATCGAACTCTTGACCTCGTGGAACATATATGGCCCCTTTAGCGCTTGGCCAACTAACTTGGTGATTAACAATTACTCAGAATCCACAATTACCCTGATGGAGCATACAAGTCAATATCATGAAGTGGACGCTCAATCTGTTTCTTTTAAAACAGTGGAAAACGATTACTGTACCAATTCTAGGAAAGTTAATAGGCAAATAGTCAATACCTAACATCATCATCATTCATGCGACAGTGGCAAGACAGAATAGTGTCGACTTTCGATTTCGATTTTTCTCCAAGTTGGCTGTACATGCAAAGGTTTACGTTGCCGTATCAGAAATTAATGGCGGCTTTCTGATTCTGTATCCTGATATTTGTTCATCTCTTTCCCTTTTTGCTGGCAAAGAAGTGTCGGAATATATACCAAAAAAGTAGGTGGACATGAACATTTTTCGCTCCCAAGGCACAAAAGAGGTCCAAGCATAAACATATCCATTAGGTGTAATCGAAATTAGCTATGTCTGGCCAAGTTGGGCAGATTATTTGAAGTTATGCATCATGTCAGGGCACCTTAAAGGCACTCTCGCTTTTATTTCTGCTGCTGCTGTATCCACACCTGATACAGCACCACACCTGATGCAGCACCAGATCCCTCCTTGTTCTCCACTTCTTTCTCTTCAATTGCTCCACCAATTTGGAGCCACTTTCTAGTCGGCTTGGCGCGTCTTAGTCTTGCCGTCCTTGAGGAGTGCGCAAATCCTCACTGCTACGCTCATCCTAGCTTGAGGACATATGCCTTGCTTGCCATTCATCGTCCCCAGTAACACCCCCAGGAGTCGTCTGTTCTCAATTACTGCGTTCGGGGCTTCCGGTATGGATCCATCTTCAGATAAGGTAATATGTAACCCAGAGGAGTAAATGGCAGCTTTAGAGAAGATTGATCATGCAAGTGAATTTAGCCTTGAAAGAGCTACTTGCGTTAGTGGGCAGCAATCGAGCGAGACTAGCTGAGCAATTACTTAGCTAACAATGGATGCACTCAAGACTTTCCGTATTCATGAAACTGAGTCAGAGTTCAAAAGCCTCACTGACCATCAACGGCCCCTTTGGCGTCTGTGCGAATAGGATCGAGGTGCCGGGTCAGAAGGATTGATCCTTGAAAGCCTCTCGAAATTTCTTAATCTCAGTGGCATCGGCATCAGTGTGAGTTCCACCATAAAAATGCCAGTCTTCGACACACTTTCCAGCGACCTTCTCTGCGTATTGAGGAACCGTCAATGGCAATATCAGGGACACCCGCCAGAACTTCTCGAACGGACCTGCGGGAAACAGTCGCACTATTTTATCGATCCAACTGAACCCGAACAAAAAACATACGTGGACACCGCTCCATAATAAATTGGTTTTGAGTCTGATAGTGAATTTCTTATTCAATGTCAAATTCTCTAGCTTGATCGGATGAGACAACTGCAGCTAATTTTCCTCTGCAATTCATACAATAGTCTGCCCGTCCCCTATGTGACAATCTATTCATCCTCACTCTCACATTAGGGAACTACCGAACTGAAGCTCTTCTATGCAAATTCAATTTACGAATTACTGATGCAAAATATGAATGAGCAAATTAGTATAAAAAAAGAGCAGTAAGCTTAGACTAAGCCAGGGTGAATAATGAAGATGAAGACCAAGGGCAACCAAAAAGCGACTGATATCAGCATCTCAATATTCATCTTGCGAGTTGCAATAGGTTGGAGAACGTGGATTGTAATGACTCATCTGACATCTGTATCTTCTAATCGTTAGGTCTACTCTGTCCGGCCGGCGTTGCCCTCAAGCCCGGTGAAGACATTTCCTTCGCATTCAAAGTAGCATTAGCGCTACCTAGAGAAATCAACTTCATGAGAAGGCTACAGACGATACAAGCAATCAAAGTACGATCGCTGAAAGAACACAAGCTCATCCGATGCCTCAAATCATCAGCAAGTTCTTCGCAACATTTATGAGGGCAACAACGCTTGCTTGCCCGGAATGTTGGACGGCTAACTGTCCATCAGTGCGTGCCAACAAAACCAAAAGCAGCAAACCTATGCGCAACGAATCGCTCAACAACAGCAAGATTGCTCCTCTAGAAGA